AAACGTATGCCAGAGGAGGTGAAGCCAGGGTTCGACAAGGCCCAAAAAAGTATGCAATATTTCCTTCCCGTGTTGCGAAAGCATATGCGATCTGGCTCTTTCCCCATTACTTACCGCAAAACTCTGATGGACTTACTAGCAAAGCTAGGTCCCATTCCGACTAGCACGGCAGAGGTAGAAAGGGGATTTTCTATCTACTCTGTTATCAGAATGCAACGCAGAACTTGTACAAAGGTGGAGCATCTAAGCAATTACTTGAGATTTGTCAACCTTCTACTAAACATATTGTTAATCAAAAACTTCATTTAAAAGATTGCTATGAGTGGTCCAGACAGGCTGTCATCGTATGACTTTATGAATTATCCTAAAAGATGGTATGAAGAAACTGGTCACCTACCTGCTGACTTTCCTGGTGCTACCAGAGGGCCAGGAAAAAAAAACACAAAAGCGCTTAGAAGAAGAAAAACGTTTTAAATCCATTTTCGACTCAGAACGCTTTTTCACGCAATTCTACGTCTACTCCGATGACCTTTTGGAGGAGGAAAAAGATCTCTCAGGCAGCGAACTTGTTGTCTCTGACGTTGGCGATAGTGATATTTTTGATGATGACGTGCAGGAAGTGTAAGTTGTTCCTAACCTGTACATCTTTTGGGATACCTTATTGCTTTCTTTTTTGTCGATGCAATGAAATAGGAGCACAGATCTTCATAAACTCATTTTTTTTGATTTATTAGGTTGAACCGAAAGTTTTTTCGCACCAAATTCAAAAGTTCATAACTTCTGAATTTTCCAGCCTATTGGAACGCTCTTTGCGGAAAGAGTAAGTCATGCTCTTTATAAAGACTTCTTAGATGCTTGCTAATGATCATTGGTTGCGTAGATAGGAGCGATAGAAGAAAAGTAGTCAAAATTCGAATTTACTTGCAACAAAAATCGGAGCAGTCGGCATTGTAGGTTCTTTCACCAGCTCTTTCTAACAGTGCAAAGTTTGCGCCGATTGAGCTTCTCTATGAAAAGTTACAATTTCCCTGAAAAATGCCAAAATAAATCAAATTCGCCCTTTTGTATTGCTTGCTCAAAAATCATAACCTTTTTCTTAGAAAACTCAATCGGCGCGTGCTTTGCACTGTTAGAAAAAGCCAGTTAAACGACCTATAATACCGACTGCTTCGATTTTTGTTGCAAGTTTCCAATTTTTTATGACCTTACGCAGAAAATTCGCATTCGAACCACCCTGTATAAAGGGTATTCCAAAAAGTAAGTACACACTTTTCAATGGTCAATATCTCTCTTAACAATGGGTCTTTTTTTGCCAGTCAATTACCATTCTGTAGATGAGTCTTCGTTATTGTAGGATTACGGTAAGAACTTTCAGCATGTGGAACCATTGTGAAATGTGCCATCTAACAAAATTTTTTTAAAATCTGAAAAATCGTGTACTAGGGTTTGGCGCACGCTAATTCCACTACACAACTTTTTCACGAGTGTTTTCAGCTTTTTTGATAGTGTAATGATATTTCTGACAAATACTGGGACGGTTACTACTGTTTACCCGGGATAACTTCGAAAAGAAGCATACCTCAAGCTCGACCAAAGACTCGAAAGCAAGAGTGTAATTAACAATCAAACAGTGTGCAGATCTTTTGAGACACTTTGTATATACTGGGTGTCCCAAAAGTATGTACACACTTTTCAATCGTTAATATCTTTCTTCCCATTGCGTCTTTTTCCGCCATTTAAGCCGCGTTCTGTAGAGGAGGCTTCAGCTTAGATTTACTGTATCGAGCGAATCACCGATTGCTCTTCATTACTGTAGGATAACTACGAATTTTTAATCATTGGAAGCCGTATTCTGCCTCGGAACAAAACCAAACAAGCCAAAAATCTTATACTATGGTAATGGAAGCCGTTGATTTCAAATATAAAATTTACACTTTACTGTGATGCTTCTTTCCGAAGTTATCCCGGGTAAACAGTAGTAACCGAATTCCCAGTATTCATCAGAAATGATTACACACCAAAAAAGCTGCAAAGACTCATAAAAAAGTTGTGTAGTGGAATTAGCGTGCGCCAAACCCTAGTACACGATTTTTCAGATTTCAAGAAATTTTTGTTAGATGGTATATTTCACAATGGTTCCACATGCTGGAAGTTCTTACCGTAATCCTACAATAACGAAGCCTCATCTACAGAATAATTGACTGGCTAAAAAAAGACCCATTGGAAAGAGAGATATTGACCATTGAAAAGTGTGTACTTACTTTTTGAAACACCCTGTATACAGGGTGGTCCACATGAAGCTTGACACAACAAAAAATATTATAACTTTGCAAAGACTGAATCAAATGGGAAGCTTTTCTCCTCACCTGATAGAGAAAAGAATTTTGTATAAGAACTCCCAACTAGCTTTTGAGATATTTGTTCCTGAAATTAAAAAAACGTTTTTCCCCTTCCAAACCTCTTCAAAAGATTCTTTGATTTGCGCGCGATGGTTTCTGCTCCCAAACTCTTACCAGGTCTCTTTTCGGCAAATCAAACGACATGGGTTTTGAATGGCAGACTTTTTCCTTTCAGGCAGGTAGAAAAGAGTGTTTGTGGGTTCGAGGATGGGCGTTTCCAGTGCCCAAACGATGGATCTTACACAACTGCAATTTCTTGTTTTCGCTGTGATTAGTGTTTAGTCATGCTAAAAATTCTCAAAAGCGTCTTTAGTATTTCCTTTGATCCAACAAAGTGCCACAACCCTTCAAAGTTTGTTTTCGATGCTGTCTCCAGAACCTCGAAAAACTGCGGTTTTTGTTGCCATGGCAAATGCCTTTGATAAACCTCCAAACTTGACCACGTTTTACTAAGAATTGGGGTCGGGAACAAGCACAACGGGACAAAAGAATATGGAGAAGACGATTATCATCAAAACATGGAATGAAAAGCAATAAAAATTGAATTTTTTGCTGCCCGTCAAACATCATGTGGACCACAAATGAAAAAACTGTTTTGCCTTTCCACGAACATTCTTGAAACCCACGAATTCTCTTCCTGGCCTATCTGTGAAGAAAACGCAACGCTGAAGCTACAAGCGTTTTATTATGAAATAATCATACATAAAAATAGCGAAATTAAGCACATTGTTGCACTTTTAGCTCAGCTTTTGGCTTTAAAAATTTGAAGTAAGCCAGCTGCATGTTTTGGCCCAGCATCAAGGCGAAAGTGGCTCTGTACTGCTAAATTTTCAATTTCGCATAATTTCTTAGCAAAATAATGGTCTTTAATGGTTTATAGCTTCGTCCACAAAGGCGATAAGTAGGTAAGGAAGACAGATTTAGAGTCAGCTTTTCATGCTGCATCTAATGGTATGCAGCTTATCTGGATTGGCCAGTTCGATTTCTGACCATTCCCTTGTTAGCTGCTTACTGGTCATCTGTTGCCTAGATAGGAGCCATAGAAGAAAAGTAGTCAAAATTCGAATTTACTTGCAACAAAAGTCGGAGGCTTCGGTATTGTAGGTTCTTTCACCAGCTCTTTCTAACTGTACAAAGTTTGTGCTGATTGAGCGTCTCTATGAAAAGTTATGATTTCGCTGAAAAATGCCAAAATAAACCAAATTCGCCCTTTTCTATTGCTTGCTCGAAAATCATAACTTTTCACAGAGACTCCCAATCGGCGCAAACTCAAGAAACACAGTTAGAAAGAGCGGGTTAAAGAACCTGCAATACCGACCGCTCCGATTTTTGTTACAAGTTTCCGATTTTTTATGACCCCGCAGAGAAAATTCGAATTTTGACTAATCTTCTATTGCTCCTATCTATGTAACAAATGATCATTAGTAAGCAGCTAAGATGTCGTTATAAAGAGCATGACTTACTATTTCATAAAAAAATGGTGCTAAAGAACTTTTGGTACAACCTAATATATAACGCAAATTTGTGAATAATTATGTTTGCGTGAAGTATATGTCAGATAGACAAAAAATGTCAAACTTTGCACACACATGTTTACTACCCCTGCACACAATAGGCTACTTTTTTGGCGATTTGCTCGGTCTATCTATCAATTTATCGATTTATTTACTTATATCAAAGAAAATAAGGCTCATTAATCATTACGGGTTGTTATTTCAAATAGTATCTTAACAAATTGAAAGGAAATTAGCAGTGATTGACAGGCACACGCTTCTGTTATTCATTCTCGGATTTTTTGCAATAAACATCCAGATAAATTTTGCGATATCCATCCGATAAATTTTGCGCAATCTCCCAATCTAGCATATAAAAGGCACAGAAGCGAAGAGAACGGAAGAAACAGAAGGAGACGGTTTTGACTTCAAATGTAAAATTTTTCTTACGAAGGGAGACCTCGACTAGGAAGGCGATGGAAGCATTCTGGACATTTGCAAGAATCCGGAAATGAATAACAAAAGCGAATGCCTGTCAGACTGCTGGTTTTCTTCTATCATATCGCTATGCCAGCTATAGATTGCATTCGATATGTATCTGTAGAATGACTCATTCGTCCGCCGCGACAGCTCACTTCCGGTACAAATTTCACGCATATTGGGGATGGGGGACATTAGGTCGCCGAAAAAGGGCGGTCCCCGCGGTCATTTGCGACAAATACGCACCCTTGTACATGCGCGGACATGCGTTCCTGCAGGGAATCCGCGCGGGACTCTTCCAAATACGGCGACCTAATGTTCTCCACCCGCATATTGGTGGTCTTCTTGCTCTGCATAATTCCACAGTAGTAATACTGAGGGAAAGTCGAAAACTAGTTCTTTTGGAGGCAATTTTCGGTAGTGTTGAGTCATGGGCGACACTTTGAACCATTTTCAGGCGGAAGACGAAGGCGTCGAAACTTTGGCCGAGATTGGAAATAAAGACCTCTCATCAAGTCTGTGTAGCACAGAAGTAATTCCAAGACACGAACATGCCCAGGTTACATGAAAACGGGACTTGGAATTTCTGTGCATTACGTACACACGATTGACAGGATGTTTCACTTACTTGTGCATTAATGATTCGAGCATAAGCTGCATGCACGGCTTGCTTAAAGTGTGATTCGATCCATTTGAAGCATTTTTCAGCGCTCTGTCCTTGCCCCTGAAAAGAGCCGTTCACATTTCATAAAGTTTTCTCTCTAACATGTTTTCTTCTAGAGTTATTCTACTAAAAAATAACATTTGCATGTGGTAGAAACATGCCAATTACGCCTGTTAGATTGCAACAGATTGGATTTTGTTTAATGTTTATCTATCTCTATCTTATTGTACACGAGGTCCAAAATTAACTTGCCCGCTAATATGTATATTCGCCACAGAAACTTAGTGTTTAGATTCATAAGACCTAGGCTTCGCACACATATGTTCTGGACCGTAGTGAATGTTCTGGATTATTTTTTGCGGCGATTCGCTTAGCCATTCTTTTGGTTCAATAATTTTTGATATGTAGTAATAAAAACAAAACTGAGCAGTTACTGTCGTAATTCTCACTCTTATATTTACTTCTTTTATGTATAAACAAAAGGGAGCCGGTGTTGATGATGCAATGATTTTAAGCAACGCTTCGGGAAGGTTAAGTTCATGCGTTGGAGGGAGTGAGAATTACGGGAGTGGGAAAGTGGGAAGACGAATAAGCAAGATGAGATGATGGGCGCAGGCGAAGGAGAGAGCACAAGGTAGAAAGCAGAGGCTTCTTGCTGTACTGCTGTACACATTGTATCGCCTACGTGAAAAACGGTGGCTCATGTATGAGCAGGGTAAAGCGGGGGGTGCGGCACGCCGCAGGGGGGGAGGGGTCGTAAGGGGGGGAGGGTAGGTAGGGGGGGGGGGTCGTATCGACCCAAGGTCAAAAGCGGTTTCTAAGGGGAAATGACTGCAGCTAAGTTCTTAGATGTGCCACGCTGTTGAAATCCTGCAAAATTCAAGTTCAGCGATACAAACTTGTAGATACCGTATGCCTACCGTAACTTACCGTACCTCTAATCAAGCATAATTGTCGTAATCCGCGTGTCGAATAACCCCTATGCGCCAAGTTTCAGCGAACTCTGAGGTCTCCGAGCAGTAAACAACCTTTTATAAAGCAGTAATTTAAAACATGATTAACTTCATCTTAACGGTGAGTAAGCTACCTCTTCTTGCACTCAATACAAAGCACTACTCCTTCTTTGTCCACCTCAGGAATTCCGCTTGAAGACCTCCAAACTATTGAATTAGAAGCCAACCAAAATCGCTTTTAGCTTTTGATCGCTGTGCTTTCACCAAATATTACTCAGAGCTAAGAAGACGAATCAGGCTCAAAACATCCCTATGGAATCTATGAGGTTTAGGCTATTGATGTATATAAATATTGTCCGCTAAAAATGTTTTTTTTTGATATAGTTAATGGCCTGCGGCACCCCCCCCCCCCTCAAAACCTGCGGCTGCCGCAGGTTTTGAGGGGGGGGGGGGTGCCGCAGGCCATTAACTTACCTTCAAATCGTTCAAACAGCTGCCTTTTTCATATCATCCTATAGACATCCTTCCTCTCTCCGTAATAGCTGTTTCCCTTCGAACCTTTTTCTTTAGAAGGAAATACATATGGTTTTTGCGAACCATATGCTGGGAAGTGCGGCCAAAAAATATTGGGTTACGGTAGCGCTCGAAAGATTGTCAAAACACACAGAGGCGCGAGATACGCGCCTTTGACTCCCACTCTCGTTATGAGCTGTGATGTTCTCGCTTTTTTCTCTATCTTTCTCCCTCTCTTTCATCTCATACTCTCTCTTTCTTTCCCTCGAGTTCGCTTTTCTGCTATTTCGCTTTCGTACTCTTTCCTCGTCGCTTCCGTTGTTTTTCGTGTTCGTTTTTTTCCCGTTTTCGTTTCTGTTGCATCCTTTGCATTTTGTCTCTTGAACCGGCTTTTAACTTTTTCATTCCAGATGAAAGGATGAATGGTGAACAGTTGCAAGATTTTCTCACCGATTTATCGAAGACTAAAATTCGTCTTGGTAACCGAGACGACGTCGAAGTTACGAAGAAATTCTTGGTCGAATAGGCGCAAAACACTATGCTTTGCGCCAATTATATAACTGTCAACTATAGGTTTGTCTACGGTCATTATGTCCATGTTTTACTAAAAGTAATTTTTATTTGATTAAGGGATGTAGATTTGGATTTCAGATTTTGATAAGGTGGCGGTGTCGGACTTCCTTATTCACTTTTTTTGTTATTGCCTTTGCTTCACCATTGGTTTTTAATGGCTGTTTGTAAGCTAAGAGGTAAGTTCGACTTTGAACTAGCTTCAACATACGGGTTTTGAAAACCAGAACGGATCAATTTCTGGGAAACAAAGACGCGTGAGATAACTCAGAGTGTGCAAATTTATCGATTAGGGAAACCAATCTTCTGAAACTATCTGATTCAAGTGAATATCTTGATAGTTTAATCTTGCAGAACTCGAGAAAACACGATGGATTATCCCAGCAAAGTCATCGAATGGAGGATTTGTTCCTTTATCGAGGGGAGGGCTGGAATATAGTCCGTCAAGAGCCTTCAGTGACATTTTATTATTGCTAAACCTTACTGACAGTGATACCTACAGCCTCTATAAGGTGAGTAATCATATATCATTCGCCTTTTGTGTGATAAGCCTTACTGTGAACCTACAGTTGTACTGTATGCATTTTGTGTGTTTTTGTATAGAATTTGCCAGGGAAACCTTTTAATTTAAAGCTAACTTTTCATACGACACCTATATCGCTTTGTAGAGCATTGAATAGTGATTCCAAATCTTTTCTTTTTCGGGGCCTTTCCAAAAAAGTCATGAGTGTTTGAAAGCCTAAATTTGTCAAGCCTCAAGTGGACTGTACAAAAACATGCTGATTGCCACATGTTATGCTCCTTTCTTGTAGTCAGCATTGATACAAATTTGAATACCTAGTTTCAGTGTTTGTGTTTTTTGTACAGTTTTTCGCTAATTTTGCGCCACTAGCATGAATTGGACTTTCAAACACTCGTGATTTCTTTCGAAAAATTGTTTCGCAGAAAAGGAAAGCAGATTTGGAATTAGCATCCGAGGACGTGTCTAGTGATATAGGTGTCATGTGAAAAGCCCAGTTCAGCTGGAAGCCTTCCCCTGTTGGATCTGATATTTTGACGCTTATCGTATGCCTACCATGATCCTATTTTGTAGTGTATGTTTTTAGGGTGACAACTGCAGTGTCGTCGCAAATGACTACCCCAAAGATAATAGTATGTTCGGTTTACTAAAAGGAGTCAATCTGTGGAAGAGTCATTACTTGAATTTGTTCAATGATACGGTCGTTGCAGTCGTGACAAAACTGCCACACAGTGTGCAAGCTAAAGTTTTGAGTAGGTTCATTTTACTTATTTTTCGTTTCTTTTTCATTGTTACACTTATTCTAGATGTTAATTACATTCGCCTCGGTGCATTTGTAGCTGGTATATTACTATTTATCTTTGCTCGAAGTCTAGCCAGAAATACGCTTTCTATGGAATTGGTTGTTCTTTCGGTCTACTTGCGTCTTTACTTCTCATTGAATTTGTCCTATAGAGATTTGCTCCAAAGGTTTGTCATTCAATAGTTTATTTGTGGATTTAGCACCTGTCTCTGCTGAATGTCTTCAGAAATTGATAGGTTTACCAATCCTTGTTGGTGGATGGTCACTAGCGATGTACATGTTGCATCTTACTTGGAAAAATATCGCATCGCTCGCCGCACAGTATCAAAAATACTCTGTTGCATATGTTGTAAGTACCAATCGATTTGATAAAATCATGGTGAACGAATCCATTAACAGGCTACGGTCATGTTGATCTCTCTGGCTGCCTGCTACAAAAAGGGTCCACCAAGGGATGCACAGTCATTGGATCTTGCTTAGTGGGCAATGCAAGCTGTGGCGCTTTTGCACATCTATGTGTCGTCTGAGGTATTTCAACCATTGCCATCTTTCCAGGTTCATGTTGTAATCTGTTTGCATTTTTAAAGTTTATTCTCAAATCCCACCAATTTTTTTGATCAACTAAATTGTGGTATATTTAGTCACAACCCGCGGTCTTATGCAGTATTTTTCTTCAGTCACTTCATTTTTTCCAAACTTTTCTGTACCATCGCCTCAGATTCAGATCCTGACTCATTTAATTTTCTAAATCTAACCGATTTGTGTTCCACAGTCGTTCTCCAGGTCCAAGAAGTTTCAGTGGGAGTCATCACTCTCCTGATCCTGCATCTGTTCACAAGATCTTGGCTAGGTTCATTTCTGCGAGGCATTGGTGCAGTTGCTGGGTACTTTTGGTAAGCCATAAATATTTTTTAGCTTGGGATTATCGTACTCTTATGTCCAGGAGGAAGCTGTTTCCACCAAGGCGACGTCTACTGACAAGAGAAGAATATGAAAAAGAGGGAAGAGAGACTACAAAGCGAGAATTAGAAAAATTACGACACTACTGTCGCAGTCCTGATGCCGATGTGTGGAAAATCACTAGTGCCAGAAATATTTTTCACTCTTAGTTTGGTTGAGTGACTTACTCTTTCTGCCTAAGATAACTTAGTACTGGTCGGATATCTCTACGAGTTGTAACTTTCGATATTTTGCTTTCGGTTTCTGATTGTGTTGATAATTTCTCATGTATACACTAAGAAAAATCTTTCGAATAAAACAAAAGATAATATATATCGAAACAGTTAGCCAAGCATAAAACCTGGGGAGGGGGGAGGGGGAAAAGGGGGGGGGTCGTGCCCGGGTCTGACCTAAGGGGGGGAGGGGTCGTATCCGGCGGTCGTGTGCCACACCCCTGCTTTACCCTGTGTATGAGTCGTTCCGTAATCTCTATATATTAGGTTGTCCCGAAAGTTCGTTCGCACTATTTTCAAAAATCGTAACTTCTTTCATTCACAACGGTTTTGCTCAATTCAAGGTCTTTCAGAAAGCGTAAAACACGTAGTTTCCAAAGGTGCCCTGGAGACTTTCCAATATGCTTAGTTTGCAGAAATAAAAATGGAAGGACGAGATCATCCGATCGGAATCTTTGAGCAAAAATTTTAAAAATTTAGAAACTATGCGATAAAATCCAGAACAACATCATCTTACGTTTTCTTATACTTTATTATTAACTAAGTCAAGTTTGTGCTGATCAAGGTCTTCTTTCAAAAGTTATGATTTTTTTTTGAAAAAACGCCGAAAAATCAATTCTAAGATTTTTAGGAAATCGATTCCTCGGCATTTTTACAAAAAATCATAACTTCTGAAAGAAGAGCTCGATTAGCACAAACTTACTCAGTTAGTGATAAAATATAAGAAAACTTAAGATGATGGCTGTTTTGGATTTATCGCACAGTTTCTAGATTTTTAGAATTTTTGCTCAAAAATTCCGAATTTCGGATGAACTCTTTTATTTTTTATCTCTGCAATCTGAGCATATTAGGAAGTTCCCAGGAAATTTTTGGAAACTACATGTTTTACGCTTTCCAATAAAATTTGAACTGCGCAAAATTGTTGTTACAGAAAGAAGTTATGATTTTTTGAAAATGGTGCGAATGAACTTTCGGTTCAACCTAATATAAAGCAAAAAATTTGTATGTTTGTGCACGTTCTCCATAGTCGCGAAGGATGAGTGGTGAAGCTCATTTTGATTTGCTGGTCATCAAGACATGGTAAAGACGGTAGGAAGCGAACCCAGGATGAGTCGGAATTAAAAGAAGTAAGTTTCGCTGCCTGAGAAGTCAAGACAATAGACTGGCCCCAAACCGAGGCGGAACCCAGGATGCCAGCTCGTCGCTAAATTAGTACATCTATGAAACGTTAGGAAACCTATTCAAATTCATATTTTCACACATGTGGTATGCATACGAGGCACACTCGGACTCGCGCTAACTATGAACCCCCCAGACTATGACACAGTAAAGCACGCACCCAGGTCTTTTTAACAATCAGATCAACTGACTAGCACTTTATATGCTGAAACAGAGACTTTAGATAAATTCTCAAAAACTCGGTAGCTATGATTATTTGATCAAGACCGATTTTTTATTTAGGACTTGTGAGGTGTCTCCGTAGTTTTGTTCGGTGCAAGGTTAGGGCTCAGTATTGACTATAACCACGAATAAAATTTGAAGTCAGAGGTTTTCGAGTACATTATCCACCAATTATTTTCGTTTCATGCAAATCTATCATGGATTTTCTCCTCAGGCAATTTCAAAAACATAAGAATTTTTTTTGGACAAAAGACATACAGAAATGTAACAGTATGATTCTAGTAGATTGTGTGATAAGATGGCTCGCATTTTCTGATTCTGCTATTTCTTAGTATCATGCTGTCTCATAATTTTTTTCTATTGAAATCTTGACATTGACGATTCTCAAAAACTTAGGCACCTACAGGGTGTCCCAAAAAGATGTGCACACTGTTTGATCGTTAATAGCTCTCTTGCTTTCGTGTCTTTTGTCGAGCTTAAAGTACCATTCTATAGAGCGAGGTTCAACTTAGATTTGCAGAATGGAGCGAATCATCGATCGCTCTTCATTACTGTAGGATTACGGTAGGAACTTCGAAGAGGGTTTTAGGCCATTAAAAGGCGCAATTTGCCTCAGAAAGAAAGCCAAACAAGCCAGAAACTCTCAACTGGGCTAATTGAAGGTGCTGATTCTAAATATGAAGTTTGCGATTTAGTACAGTGCTTCTTTCATAAGTTATTTCAGATTTAGAGTAAAAACTGTTTTCCCAATGTCGATCAAAAATGTGAATACACGAGCAAGAAAGTTCGAAAAGTTGATGAAAAGTTATGTACTGAAATGAGCACGCCTGAAAACCATAATACACAGATTTTCAGATTTTTTTGAAATTTTCTTATCACAAGGCCTATTCCACAGTGACGCTGTATGTTGGAAGTTCATACCGTAATCCTACAGTAATGAAAAGTGATTGGTGATTTGCTCCACACTGCAAATCTAAGTTGAACCTCGCTCTACAGAATGGTACCTTGAATTCGGCAAAAAACCTGAAAGCAAGAGAGTTATTAACCATCAAACAGTGTGCACATCTTTTTGGGACACTCTGTATAAAGATAAAACGTCCCGTAATGAAAATTTTTCTCATGGTTTTTATCTACATTGCCGACACAAGCCGCAAGCTTTCATCCGGTGCAAACCACTCCACTTCTTTACTGTTCCTCATCCACAGTGACAAACCACCATCCGGCGTCTTCGGACACAGCGAGAATGCTAGAGGCACCGCTAGAAACCTAAGAACCATCTGCGAAATCTTAGTGGAGGAACTGCCAAGCATGACGGCGATAATAGCATTGTCGAAAAAGCGTATAAGGCTCGGCGTAATTGCGAGAATCGGTGAGTTTGCACGCGTAAACTTCTCCAGTTATTTTTCTCCTTCCAAAGCCTTCCCTTATCAAATGTTAGCTTCCAATACCTGAAAGCAAAAAGCACGGGTTTGTTTAACTGGTTTAAGGTCTTGTGGCATCCTACCTGGCAATGGCCGCAAGCTGACCGCAGACCACTATACACAGCTTTTTGCGCGTTATCACACTTTGACTCGGCAGCATTCCCGCAGCAAGGGTCCCGGGCGCCACTGAGGTAAGCACCCGTGAACGCCCAAGCAATCAGCGTTGCATCGCTCGAGGCGCGGCAGTAAACCTTCTGTGTCGTAACGTGAGAAATGTTCTTTGAACCATACTTGATCTTTAACAAATGCAAGCACGGCCGCTATTCCAACATTGCTGTCGGTTGTAATTGATGAAGCGGAAGTAGTCGTGTTCCGTCGAGAGTCGTCACATAGACTATTGTCTGACAGGACGCGGGAGCCACTAAAACATGAACGTTCAAATGCCGAAGCTCTCCACTTTTTGGACATCTCTTCTGCAGTATTTTTTATCAGTAAGGAAAGTGAGTCTGTTTCGATTAAAAATTGTTAGAATTGCTCCAAGGATCGTCCACGTAGGCATGCCAGCGGGAAGGAGCTGCTGCATGGCAGTCACACTGCAGTGTGCAGTGTAAGCTTCTCCTAATTACCATGTCAATACGTGAATGGAGGCAGTCCCTGGCTGCGCGAGCTTGATAGGATTTTGGCGTGGCTTGATAGCACTTTCGTTGTTTCAGGTCCATTATATCCATTCAGAGTCAACATTAGAGAATCGAACCAACGCAGATGTCCCTATATGTATATATAACTTTGTAAGTGTGTTCGTTTGGTTGTTCGTTTATAGAAACGCCCGTCAATGAAGCGATTGAGCCGAAAATTGCACACATATGATTCGACCTCCGGAGGTAGTTTAGCGCTACTTTTAGAGGCGATTCGCTAGGCCATTCTATTGATTTATTAATTCTTGGCATAAGGATGAGTTCTCAACATTGGCTAACAAGTCATTTCCATGATTTCGTGTAAACAATAACAGTATTTGATTTTCGCTAGGAAGGATGCGGTGGTTCAAGAAGAGCCTACAGCGGGTGAGTAACTCTGATACAGAAATCCCTTGCAGCGCAACATAATGGCCAAGTGGGAAGGGGAAGTGAGGGGAGGTAAGTGGGGGGGGGGGGGAGGGTGGGAGGGGTTGGGCAAGATCAGTTGAAGCCGTGTCCCGGGCTAGACCGGGAAAACAGCTAGAATTCTAACTATTCATGTTTTCAATAATGTGTGTTTTACATGCTATCTTCTTTTCACTGCCAGAGACTGACTTACATTCACTTACGTAGAATTAGTTAGCCAGCAATTTGCAAGAAGATGCTTCACGTAGAGTTTGTACTTACCTTTCGCACATTCGCACTGACATGTGGCTGCACTACTCTACTACAATACCGCTCACAATTCGTCAAAAAAGTCGCCGGACTGCGGCGGACTCCGCCGAAGTGCGGTAGAGTGCGCCACACTCCAC